TGACTTTTCCGACAACACAATAAATATTTCCAAATACTCACCCACCCACCCCATCTCCAAATGGGATCAATCACAAATATTTCATAACTGATGTGTATTAACCCCATACTTGTTGTTATGTGTCCAATGAGCCATGTGTCCATTGACCTCCAACTGGCAGACGGTTTACTTGCACTAGGTAAATATAAAAACTTACAGGGTCCCTTTACATGCTCAAGATTATGGGGAATAACAAAAGTTAGGTTGCATCCTCCTCTAGACAGGTTCACAATAGTCATCAACAGAATTAACCTATAAGAAATGCAGGAAATACTTAAGAGGACATTACATTTTACAAGTGAGACTGCAATCTCAAAAGGATTTCAGAGGCAGAAAAGTACCTTGAACTAAGATTCAGAGGCCCCATCTGTTATATGCTAGCTTTGTGGTCTTTAAAATATTGCAAAACTACTTTGAGTCTCAACTTGCTCATTCATAATTGATAACATCTGTCTTATCTATTTTTATAGGCCTGTGTAGGAAAAATAAATGGGGATATATATTAAAAGCCTTGAAAAATTATTGAAAGTGCTGTGTATCTGTGAATCAGTTATTATTGTAATCTGGATCTATTATAGCTAAAGTTGGTATAGAATTCTAAGTAAGTCTCAAAATGTTTAAAAACAAATTTTTTTTAAGTTATATTGTCAAGGGAGTAGGTACATATTGTGAGAGTGAGAAATAGTGCTAGCAAGAAAATATAGTAGAGGATGAGTACCCAATATCCAACAATCTAGCATGGAAAAGATTTTATTATATCATTAACAGACTAGGATTGAGATACATATGGGAAGCCCCATTTGCAACATCAGACTGATGAGTTCAGACTTTTCTAAAAATCACTATACGGCTCTGGGGCAGGGTATTAAAATTACACACATGATATTTTAGGAAGATGAAGCTAGTAACGGTATGCATGAATCAGAAAAGATGGAGATGGGGAATAGCCAAAAAAGTATTCCCATTACTGAGGTATGAATACAAAGGAAAATATTGAAGAGACTTTTGATTAAAAAAAAGAAGAGAAGCTCTTTAAGATATTGTGACCAAGAGAAAAAAATGAAAAAATGAGATTGCTGAAAAATGGGAGATTTTGAAAGGAACATGCGTAATTTTTGTAGGGCGCAAGTGTTGAAAATGTGTTTACTAATAGACATTTGAATTTAAGGTGATGGTGGGTCCAAGTCTGTCACCAATTCTGATACGTGTGTTTTTTCCCCATGCCCCTGTTCCATACAGTAGGGTTAGACACCACACAGGTTACCTGGAAATGGCAGCTCCTCACAAGTCCATTGAGCTGAACTACTGATAGTTGTTTGTTTTTTAAGACTCATTATGGTGACAATGACAGCTCTGATCCAAAAAGCAACTACATATCACTGAAATCTGCAACCAGGGATGCAAAGAACCCTCCCTACAGCATTGACTCTCAGCAAACCCAACTATACTCAGCCAGCTGTTGGGCTCCCAGGACCATAAGTGGCCCATATTCAACATCTTTCAATCAATATATATACAGAGGGTGGCAAAAAATGTATACATATTTTAAGAAAGGAAGAAAACTGTAGTAAAGTTGTAATAATATATACCGGTAATGAAAAATGAACACAAGTCATGTGTATACATTTTTTTTTTTTGGCAACCCTGGTCGATAGCTACCATTCCTATTGCTGTTTTTTGTGATATGAGCTACTAAGGGTGTAAAAGCAGGACTTAAGATGAAAAGGTAAGATTCTTAAAATGAACACCTTTTTAAAAATTAAGCTTTTATCCTGCATTAGAAGTTTACATCTTAAAGGTAAAGCTCTTCAAAAAAGAAAAAACAGAAAAAGGCCTAAGGATTTTTCTGTTCCTAATCAATATTTCATTTACTCTAAAATAAATAAAGTATAAAAAGAAAAACTCAAAGATAATGAGAACTGCATTTATATTCACAAACTTTTACTTTTAGGAGTGCTATGATTCTGGCATCTATTCTGAGAAAATATACACTTTACTCAGTAAAGCATATGCCTAAATTCCTTAAGCCTAACAGCCTTTAAAAATGCAATCATCATTTTCACTATTCATTATTGTGGGGAGTTTTAAATGTGATGTTATCATGTGTCACAAGAAATCATTTTATTTAGCTATAAAATGAAAATACAGCCAAAAAATACAGCTGCCAAGAACACAAGATTTCATTACATAATAGAATTGCTGTGATTTATTTGGCATTTTCCATAAATGTATAAACTTCTTCCCTATTGCTATCTAAACAATACCTAAGCTGTTATGTTTGGGTATATTTCTAAACAGAAGATTTAGTAATCACAGAATATGTGAGCCATCTCTGTCGTTTATGAAGAAATGAGACCCAACGGGGTTAAGTGACAAGCTCGGACTCTGTTGAGTTTAAGATCTGTCTTTTGTCAGGAAAGTACTATTAAAGAGAAAATCACAGGGCCAAAATGTGTCACTTGTGATAAAGCCATGATGCCAAACCTAGACTTAATACCTGACTTTGCTGTTTCAACCTTCCCTGGAAATATAACCTAAATCAAACAGTCTGGAATTTTCTGGTCAAGCACCAGTAAGGTAATCTGTTGAGTGGGCCCTCTCTATTCCCCATAGACAGAAAAGGCAACATGCATGATAAAACCCTTGAAGTTCCCTTTCCCCCAAAAGAGCATGTCCTGGTCTAAATATAATTCTTTCTTTTCTTTTGTCAATGGCTCCCTTGCCCCGCCCTGCTGCCTATAAAAACCTTCCATTTTGTACAACACCTTGGGGCCTCTTCTAGCTGAAAGATGAAATGTGGCCAGATTCCTGAACCACTTAATAAAGTCAGTTATAACTGCAAATGTACTCATTTGAATTTTGTGTGTTTTTTTTAACAGTATGTAATGCTAATTTACCCTAAAATAATGGTAGTGACTGGGATTATGCTGTAATTTTGCTGAATACTCTTCACCACCTCCAACTGACATACAAATAACTGTGGGATAAAAATTTAAACACAGACATACTCTTTATTGCACAGGTTTCCAACCTCAGCACTATTGACATTTTGGGCCAAATACTTCTTTTTTTTTTTTTTTAGCTGAGCCATCCTGCCACCTGTTGGCAGCTTAGCGGCTGCTCAGCTTGGGCCGGGACTCAAACTGCTGTTGCTCAGAGCTCAAACTCTTGAGCAAGCTCTTAACCAACTGAGCCACTTGGCCGGCCCTATCAAATACTTCTTTGATATGAGAGGGACTGTTCTGTACGCCATAGAAAGCTTAAGCATCCCTGGCCTCTACCTACTGGATGCCAGTAGCATACTCATTTTGTGACAACCAGATATTGCCAACCACTGGCCTAATGTTGGGTAGAAAAATCACTGAATTAGGCATTTCTAAAAATTAAATAAAATTCTCATTTCATCCTTTTCACCTAATCATTTTGGAAACTCTCAGAATTGTCTGCCTAATAAATGACCTTAAACAACATGCAGAGTTACTGGAGTCGTCAGGAAGTTTTATGTCTCCAATCAGGTTGTACCAATTATAGGACGTTGAAGAAACAATGTTATAATAGTGAATAACAATCAACTTAGAAAGTACTTTTGAAGAAGAAACTTAAAAATGAACGATTTCACCTATGGAATTATTTTGACTCGCATACAGATTCACAATTGATTTTTTTTAGACTGTCCACAAAAGTTAGCTTCATGCCTTTTTGTGAACCCTTTAGAAATTTTCCTAATATTGTTTGATATTATAAAATATGAAACTCTCCCCATGTTCCGTTGGTCTTCGTAAGTCTGAGCCCTTATTTAATTTTCTGAGAATGTTCTCCATGGTATAGATCATTTAGATCCTTGGAACTCAAGGTTTTGCAATCTTATTCCTTCTTTCTCTCTTCTTCCCTCTGCCTTTGCAGCCCTTTTTATTTTCCTAATAACATAAAATACTGCAAAAAAGTCATCAGGGCATTACTGAATTTTTGGTTTCAATGGGTTTTTAAATGATTATTCCTAATGTCATGCGATGTTCTCTGCTTTTCATTCTGACCTTCAACAAATTTTCTGATGTTCTGAGCAAGACTCCGGACGCTGCTGGGAAGATTCCAAGGGTCTTGCTTGATGTGAAGTCTTAACCTTTTTGGACAGCTCAGCTTGGGTTCCATTTCCTGCTGAAATTCTAAATAAACAAACAAACAAAAAATCTCTCTTAATTCTCAACCATTTACCAAACAGTTCACAAGCCCGTAAATTTCAGAATCTCTTGTTTTTGTGGCCATTGTCCTAAGTTATTGTCATGGTGGTAATTTCTTGAGCTATATCACAGAAGAAAATGTGTTAAATCTAAAATGTCGAACCTTAACATTATTTTCTTACAAACGTCTAAACAAAGGAGCAAATTTAGATGGAAACTATACTTTCAACATCTTAAACTAGATGTCAGAGAAATGGCAGCTCTAGGTCCTGTTGTGTTTGACTGTTCTGTCTGCTCCCCACATTCCCAAACCCCCTCCCCCACCACTGAGAACTTGGTTTCAGCCAAAGCAACTGGACACTTACATGTCTTCAATGAACTCATTTCCATTCAATCTGGCATTAAACATTTTAACTTACAAAGGTCCTATACAGATTTTTTGTATATACTCAAACATTACAAACATTGAAGTAGTATTAAGGAAATCATGAAACATAAGCAACCAGAACTTTTCTTCTTATACTATGCTTTTGTTTTGCTTCATGACCATACTGTCTACCACCTTTCCCAATGGCTTCTAATAGTTATTTTTTAAACCGTACCTTGTAATCCTCGACCTGGGGTGAGGTACTTGGTTTGCTCAAAGGCTCTCACAACAGCTTGCCCTTTTAGGAGATTGGTAATGGAGTCCACCTATCAAAACAGCAGAGATTTCTGACAGTCACATTCTGAGTTACATAATACATAATACAGACGATGCCAAAAAAATGTATACACATTTTAAGACAGGAAAAACTGTACTAAAATTGTAATACTCAATATATACTGATAACAAAAGATGAATACAAGTCACGCTTGACTTCTGCAATTACAAGAGGTGCTCAAAGTGGTTACCATCAGCATAATTTTAATACAGTTTTTTCCTTTCTCAAAATGTATATATACTTTTTTGGCACCCTCTGTATATATTTTGGAGAGTAAACATTGCAAAGCATTTTTTTTTTCTTAAAGCAACAATTACTTTTGAAATCTCATGATTCTTGTGAAATCTACCTTTAAATAAAATATTGTAATAAACTCACCTAATAACATTTGCAATGACATTTCTTATTATCCTACTATATATTAATACAAAATATAAATTCACTTCACAAAACAAGTAAAAGTTCTAGAGTGACTTAAAAAACCCTAGAAGTTATTGGAATCCTTTCAAAGTAGTAAAAGCTTCTGCACTATAAATTTTGGTTATGGATATAAATGTTTTAAGACTATAAAACACCAACATGAGACAATCTTGTGCTTTTTGAAATTAGTAATAAAGTTGAGCAAGAAACGTCATAAGGGATTCTGAAAACCCACAAATAAACAAACAATAAAAAGAATAACTTCTCTGTGTATAACTCTTTATAACTTTCCAAGGACTGTAAAATACTTGGTATTCACGACAATCCTTTGGGTTGGTTGGCTGAAGGGATCTTTATCCCATTTTAAATTGTAGAAATTGAGGTAAAGTAGGTGGAGGAACAGATTCCAAGACCTTTTCACTGCATCTGAAAAATGGATTCCTGACAGTTTGGTCTGTAGCAAAAATACCCATAACTGTCCCAATCATACCTGGCTGAAAAGATGCTCAAGGCAACTATGTATCTTATCCTGTTTTTCATGAGAAATGCGAACACTCAGGGGAAGTTCATCACCTAGATAACAAAAATAAATTTTTAAAAATCATTAATTTTATGTTTAACATGGCAAAATCTCTTAATACAAGCAAAATAAAAAAGTATTTAAACATAAGCTCTTATTCCATTCAGTAGTTCTCCTGTTCCGAAAATGAATTCCAAAAGATCTATTAACTATTAAGGGATCAGATTCCTGATTCTTGGAAACCGAGGTGAAAGTGGTGTGCCTCACAGAAAAAACACTGTGGTACACCGTGTTAATAATTCTTTCAGATGGCATATTTTTCCAATGGTTGAGCAGTTGAAATAAACTGCAGATTTAAAAATTAAGATTTATCCCAATTAGATGAAAAGTCTTTGTTCATGACACACACAAAACAAGATATTTATAAGATATTTATATCAGTGCTTTTCTCATTAACCACCTATCCCCCACTCCCACTTTGCCATCTCCCTCCCCGCTTCCCTTCACCCACTCAAATGCCATTTCAGTGCATCAACTATCTTAGAAGTCCTTAGTTTCAAAGTCCTTCCCACCTCCATGCCCAATCCACCATGCTTACTGTTTCAATAAAACTTGCCTCCTCTGTACCTATCAGCCTTCATAGTACCACAGAAAGATCATAAACCATATATTAAAATAATAAAAAAATTAGTTTATTTCATCTCTTTATAATGGGATTGGGAAGTTGACTTTATCAAGCACATAAATCTGAAATGCAGTATGTGCAGTCACTAAGAATGACTAATAAAAGGTAAAAACGCATAAGGATGAAACAAGTTAACCCCTTGGAAGTGTCTCCAATAGGACTAGCATCTGGAAGTCCAAATGCTTCATTCAGCAAACGCACCTGAGTCCATTTCGTCACTGTGAAAATACGAGCTGCACTGGCTGCTGCAAATACTAGTGAAGGAGGCGATGGAATTCCTATTGCTGTTGCAGTCGCTGAAAAGCAGGAGTTGCGTGTTACTTGCAGAGTCCATTTGCCAAAGTGTCCCTGTGATTTCTTATTAGATAAACTCACTATGTCACAGTTATATTTATTAGGATGTTTTATAGAGAATTCTGAGAGAGGTAAACTCACCCGACACAGTTCATCTTACGTTTCTAAAAATATATATTTTAAAGTCAATCATATTTCAAATTTATGTCATATAATCGAATTCGAAATGAACGTTTTTAAGTGTATAGTTATTAAAAATTTTTAAATGCATAGCTATACAATTAGGAGTCAAACCAAACTTAAAATTCTTTATAATCTGTTTGATGGTATACGCCTGTACTGAATTTGTTAATAGAGAAAAAGTCCTGTTTCACGATCTCTGCCTTTTAGCCCTACCTGGTAGCTTAAATTATAACTTATCAATGGCACCCTGAGCTCCCTCAGGGAGGACCGACACCTTCTCTCTACCTCAGAGCTCAGCACAGGATGTGTACCTTGTCAATAAATGTTCAGTAATGCTTAATGTCCAAGGAAAGAAGGTTTAAAATGGTTGTGTGTGAATGGATATAGTACTGATTTCTGAAAAAGTGCAGGAGATTAAATATTTTTTTTCTCTCACAGTAAGTAAAAATGACTTACTTAACTTTAAATTTACATTTGGAATTTCTGTGTTTGCCTAGAGGGAGACGGTGAGCACATCTTTAATTACCCGATAACTAGAATTTGAGGTAAGAAAGTATTTTTAGACACGTAATTTCCCGCTAGCGAGAAACCACAGGTTCTTATTAAAGAGCATATCGGTATCCTTAGAAGCTGAAAGTAAATGAAATGGTAAAAGTAGTTCATCTGTGTGATATAATATTAAATATCTAGGAATAATTAACTCATATGTATTTGTTAAAATCCTTTACACATAGAAATTAGAATAGTAGAGTGGTTAAGAGACAAACTGAGTCAGACCACCGGTTTCATACGTAAGTTGGGTAAGTCCTGTGGGCCTCAGTTTCCTTACCTGTAAAATGGAGTTAATAGCAACCTGCCACCCAAGATTGTGCTGGGAATTATGTCACATCATCCTGTTTCTCCTATGTGTCTGGTAAAAGCATGTTTTAAATGTTATCTATTGGTTTGTACTAAACATCTCTGATGGGAATAACTGTGAACAATAATTACTCAATATCATTTTATTGTAAAACACTGTGTGATACATAAGCGTGAATAAGAGAGTTGTTGCCTTCAATTCCTGTAAATAACATGGGAGATGCTGCAGCTGAACACAGCATAGATGATGGGTTACAACAGGCCTCAGGGAGGTTTCAGGTGATACGAGGATTCAAAGGAGAAAAAGCAACTTTCCATTAAGGAAGTTCATTGGAGGAGCCATCATTTGAGAGTCTGGTAGGAAAATGACAGTAGAGTTTGGATGTTGTATGGTGTGAGAGGTTGAATTGTGTTCCCCCCTCTCTCCCGCGCCCCGCCTAAATTCTTACGTTAAGTCTAACACTCAAGACCCCAGAATGTGATCTTATTTGGAGTGAGGGTCTTTACAGAGGTGACCAAGTTAAAATGAGGTCCTTCAGGTGGGCCCTAGTCCAGTGTGACCGGTGTTCTTATAAGATGATGAAATCTGGACACAGAAACACGCTTGGCTTAGAGGGAAAAGGATGTGAAGAGATGGAGAGGACAGCCATCTACAGGCCAAGGAGAGAGGCCTGAAACAGATCACCCCCTCACAGCCCTCAGAAGAGACCAACCCTGCTGTCATCTTGATGTTGGACTTCTAGCGCCATAACTGTGGATAATAAATAAATACATTTCTGTTGTTTAAGCCACCCAGTTCTTGGTACTTTGTTACAGCAGCCCTACCAAAATTACACAGAAGGCACGCATCAGAAGGAAAAATACACAAAGCAGGTCATAAGGCAAGCAATGAGATTAGTCCAATCAGCTTGGGACATAGAATATAAGAAGGGGAGAAACAAGAGAAAAAGAACTCCTCTTCATTACCCAACTGTCCAATAATCAAAAACAAATACAGTAATACCTTGGTTTGCGAGCATAATCCGTTCTGGAAACAAACTACTCATATTGCAAGGCATCGCTTGTTTACCACGTTAAAATGTATTAGAAATGTTTGCTCGTCTTGTGGAATACTCACAAACCAAGTTACTTGCAATCCAAGGCTTTACTGTAGTTGAAAAATGTTAATACAGACATAATTTGCTCATTTGCTACACACATTACACAATCCACACTAGGACAAGAAGCTCCCCCAATTAAGCCCACACAGCTGAGAAAACGCTTTTCCCACATGACTCAGATAAGAAAAAGGAAGAATTTGAAAGGTTATGTTGTCTCACTATGCTTTGTCTGGTGTTGGTAAGAGGCTAGCTAGTCTGTGAGAGTAATAAACCAAAATAACAATCCAAAAATGTTTTCAAGGCCATTGTGGAAAATACAGAACTTTGTTTGGCTCTGTTGATGAAATGAGTCTAAGGAATGGAATGAGTTACCTGTAGGAGTCTCGGTTGCTCACGGTATCATGGCCTGAGTCTTCCTGCTCATCTCCTGCCACATTAAAACAGACTCGTTTGCTGTTTCTCTCTCCCTTCTCATTGTCGCTGTCTGTTGGGACTATGCACTCTGACGTCTTACGTTCTAATTTAGGCGAATACGTTATCGAAGACAGAAGGCTGCATTGTGATAAAAAAAAAAAAGAAGAAGAAGAAGAAGAAATGCACATTTTCAAACTGGCTGGTACAGATAACTACCATTCTTGTCGACAGGATAGGCTTATAAATATGTCTACAGCATGTCTATGTTTCACGTAGAGTAAATATCCTACTGCACAAATAGCCCATCATGCAACGTTCCCTTTTTTCTCTCAGAATAAGCCAGAGAAATAGCACACAATTTAGACTAGAAGGCTGTGTTCCAATCCTGGGTCCCCAGCGTTTTAGCTTTGTTATCATAGCCAAGCTGGGATAGTCTCTCTGACATCTATGAAATGGGAATTATAAGAATAACTAGCCCACAGGACTGCTATGAGAATAAAATGAGAACAATGTATTCCTGGTACATAATGGGTGCCACCTCTCTCCCGCAGCCATTACCAGCACCACATGAAAACACCTGGGAAAAAGACATTAATCCAAAAAA